TTGCCAGAGACATTAAAATAGATACGAACACTGTGGAAGCAACTCAAGGAAGATTTTCAAGGGTTTGTGTTGAGGTTTATCTACGTGCTACTTTAGTGGTCAAGGTGAGACTCAATTCGAGAGATTATGCAGTGGAATACGAGGGTCTTCACTCTATATGTTTGAATGTCGCTGCTATGGCCATAAGATGGATGACTATCCAACACTCTGGCGTCCACCGAAACCTCCATCATTAGAGTTGATGAATTTGGGAAAACAACCGGTTGGTGCTGAACTGGAGAAAATGTCCACGACAGACCAATTTTGTCACGACCCAAACCCGCTCCTATAGGTTTAGCGTCATAACCGGCCAGTAATCCTTGGATTATCGATGGCCTCTGAGACAGATTAACATAATATTAGGAGTGAGCGGAAGCAAATAACAAATATATAGCGTCCATTGAGCTGTGCAGACTTATATAAGATAGGAAATTTTTAACTTTATATACATACATTTACACATCATCATATATAAACAAAAGGAGACTTAGCCCTAAATACAAAATAAACAAAAACACTTGCTAAACCAAAATAAGAAAACAAAACTTGAACTTTATGCACATAGCCATAACCACTTGACATATCCGGAGCCTCCATGGGAGGCACATATGTTGGCTGACAAAACAGAGTCCAAGCATAAGCTCTAGGCCTGGTTACACGCCTGATCACCTACATACGTAAATAATAGAGTGAACTGGAGTAGCGTGAATAATAACAGAGTAAAGGGTTTTAATGAATGATGTCCATCACAGAGTCAGAAATTAGAGTTGATATCAGAAACAGATTCATATTCATATTCTTGTTCAGAAATCAGTATTTATAAGAGAAATGGAATCAGAATCATATTCGCAATCAGAATTTACAGTTAGTCATACGTGGTACATCTATTAGCACTAATAGAAACAGTTGACCCATAAAGGAACGACCATAAAGGCATACAGTTGACTCACATGCACGAAGACGATATAGTTCGCTCATGAGATTTATAATTGGCCTATAAATGAGACGTATATAGAAGGATCCATAACAATTGGCTCATGAGACGTACAGTTGGCCCATAATTAGAATGTAATAGAACAGATAACAGATGTCATATGTGATAAAGCACAACCATCTACACATACAAATCAGTCCATCTCATCACTTGATACAGCTCAGCACTCAAATGAACAAAATAACTGATTCAATTGAGTTGGTTCAGTTGTTACTTTACTATAGTTAAAAAGCTGTTAGTTGTTGATTTTGTATAAACCATGATTAGGATAAAAAAACTCTATTGTATATATATATACATATATATTAGGAACTCTACTGTATCAAGTTAATGAATTCAATAATACAAAATCTCTGTATGGTATCAGAGCTTGATAATTTCAACGAGCTGTGATCCTTCTTCAATGGTAGATCTATGATCCGTGGTCAAATGATAGAATCACAATCACCTTCATCAATGGCCGATGCTCTTTTTCCACTAAATCTTTCTCTTCTCATTTCAAATCTGAGTTCATTCGTGACTGTTAAGTTAGATTCATCCAACTATATCATCTGAAAGAATCAGTTGCTCATTGTACTGAAAGCAACTAAACTCCTCTGTTATATTGATGGATCGAAGCACTGTCCTTCTCCAACTGTCATTGATTCAAGCAATGAAGAAGTTCTGAATCCAGAACATGCGCAATAGTTAACCATTGATGCACATCTTTTGAGTTGCATCACTGCAACTCTATCTCCAACAATTTTCACCTTTGTCTTCCATTGCACAACCAGTTGTGAGGTATGGTCTATTCTTGAAAAGAGATTCACCTCCTTATCTCGGTCACACATTCATCAATTAAAGAATAAGCTTGGTGGATTGACTAAAAAGGGATCAACTATGGAGGAATATTTGTCTCACATCAAAGCCATTACAGATCAATTGGCATTAGTTGTTTCTCCTGTGAATGATGAAGATTTAGTTCTCTTAATCCTCAATGGTTTTCCTGATGAGTACAATGTATTCAAGACCACAATCCGAGCAAGATCAGATCCTATTTCAATGGAGTCTTTGTGCTCTTTACTTTGTTATGAAGAAATTCATGTTGAACATGCTATTAAGCATACTTATGCATCTGAAATCTCATTTGCATATGCAACCACTAGTGGTCATAGATCTTATTCTTCAACTTCTAGATCTTCTAGAAGCAATTATGGTCCTATCATTCAGGCTATAGAGGCAATTTCAACAGACATGGAGGCAGATTTTCTAGAGGTTCTCGTAGAGGAGGAAGACTGCTTGAATCTCAGCAGTCTCAACAACATGCTTCTTCTTCTTCCTCATAGAATGGATTATTTTGTCAAATTTGTGGCAAAATGAATCATTCTGCCTTAGAGTGTTGGTATAGAATGGATAATTCTTTTTAGTCTCAGCCTCGATCTGCTCCTAAAGCTTATGATGTCTCTACATCACAATCCGCACAACCAGCTAATTGGTACATTAACTCAACAACCTTTGATCACATTACTAATGATCTGGCTAATTTTTCTTTACATGAGCCCTATCATGGTGTGGATCAAGTCACCATTGGAGAAGGTTCCTCACTTCCTATTCACAATACAGGTAAAGGCATTCTTCCAACACCTTCTCCTCTCATTTGTAACAAAATTTTCCCTATGCCTTCCATATCTTCTAATTTGCTCTCTGTTCACCAACTCACTTCTGATAACAACTGTTCTATCACTTCTGATAACAACTGTTCTATCACTTCTGATGCTAATACATTTACTATTCAAGACAAGGCTACCAACAGAATTCTACATAAAGGTTGCCATTCTAATGGTCTTTATTAGCTTCCTCTTTCTACATCTAGCTCACATCCAGCTACTTGCTATCACAACATTTCTACTTCTGCACCTAATTGGCATTTCAGATTAGGCCATCCATCATTCAAGAAACTTCAACACATTGTTACTACCTCTAAACTTTCCTCCTTTTCACACACTACCACTGGTTTATGTTCTCATTGTTGTGTCTCTAAGACACATAGATTACCCTTTGCTTCGTCAAATTCTACTATTAATAAGCCCTTTGCTTTAATACACTCAAATGTATGGGGCCCTTTCTCTACTTCTATATCAGGATTTAAATAATATGTTGTTTTCATTGATGACTTTAGCAAATTCACTTGGTCATATCCTCTTCATTTTAAGAGTGAAGTCTTTTCCAAATTTCTTGAATTCAAGGCCATGGTTGAAACACAATTTCTTACTTCTCTTCAAATTTTGCGGAGTGATAATGGTGGTGAATATCTAGCTAAAGAATTTCAGAATTTTTTGTCCTCCAAAGGCATCTTGCTTCAGCTCACATGTTCTCATACTCCAGCACAGAATAGGGTTGCCGAAAGAGAGTATCGCCATCTCATTGAAGCAACCATTACTCTTATGCATCATTCTTCCTTACCCTTGCATTTGTGGTTTGATGCATTGGCTACTGCAGTTGTTCTTATAAACCGACTTCCTATTGTTAAACTTCAATTTCTCAGCCCTTTTGAGGTTCTCTATCATAAAACACCTGATTACTCGTTTCTTCGCACCTTTGGTTGTCGATGTTATCCTTGGTTAAAACCCTACACTTCTCACAAACTTCAACCTTGCTCCATTCCTTGTGTCTTTATTCGTAACCGTCCAGCTATTAAAGGATATCAATGTAACTTCAACCTCGTTCCATTCCTTATGTCTTTATTGGTTACCATCCAGCTATTAAAGGATATCGGTCTTTGGATCCTGTCACCAACAAAATTTACACATCTCACCATGTTGTTTTTTATGAGCATTTTTCTCTTTTCCTCTTCTTCATCTCCCTCTCTTACTCAGTTACATTCCTTTTTCTGGTTTACACCTTCTCCTCAGACCATCAGTCTAAAGCCTTCCTTTCCTCTAGTTCTTGCAGTAGCAGTCCCAAATGTACCAGATGTAGTCCATATATCCCATTCAGCTGCAGCTGGACCAACAACTGTAGTTCCAACTCCAGCTCATCTATCTCCTCTAGTTGCACCAGCAGCAACTCTAGCTCTTCTGGTTCATCTAGCTGCCCCAACAGCTACAACAGAAAATCCTACTTCTTTGTCTCATCCAGCTGTCCCAGCAGCTACAATAGTAGCTCATCTGTCTCATCAAGCTGCTGGAGCTCCAATCATTGTTCCTATCTCTACCTTGACTATTGATTTACCATTTCCACCTCCAACTTCTCATAATACCCATCCTATGGTCACAAGGTCCAAGTCTCATCTTCCTTCTTCTGTCTTTGTTGTCACCTCTGTTACTGAACCTACTTCCTTCACAGAAGCTTCTTAATCTCCATCTTAGACTAAAACTATGCGTGAGGAATATTAAGCTCTGCAAAAGCAGTCCACTTGGTCGCTTGTTTCTTTACCTCCCAACAAACAGGCCATTAGATGTAAATGGGTGTATAGATTAAAGACTAACTCAGATGGCTCCATTGCTCAATACAAAGCTCGATTAGTGGCCAAAGGCTATCTTCAAGAAGATGGTGTGGATTTCCAAGACAAGTTTAGTCCTGTAGCAAAGCAACCCACCATTCACATTTTATTATGTCTTGCTCTTCACTTTAATTAGACCATCAAACAACTTGATATCAGTAATGCTTTCTTACATGGAGTTTTGAAAGAAGAGGTTTACATGTCCCAACCTCAAGGGTTTACTGATTCCACTCACCCTCATTTGGTCTGTAAGCTTCATAAAGCATTGTATGGCCTTAAGTAAGCTCCAAGAGCTTGGTTTTCCACTTTTTCTACCTATCTTCTATCTCAGGGTTTTCTTTCTAGTCATTGTGACTCATCCTTGTTTGTTCGCAAAACTTCTACTTCTTTTACCATTTTGGTTATCTATGTTGATAATATCCTTCTTACTGGTAGTGATCCCTCTTATTTTACCTCTCTCCTAGCTCATATGCGTACTTTTTTTCAATGAAAGAGTTGGGTTTCATCAACTATTTTCTTGGCATCTCAGTCACTTCCTCTCCCACTGGTTTCTTTCTTAATCAAGCTAAGTATGCCACTGAGATTTTGATGCTTAATTGCAAAGCCTATGCTTCTCCTATGGCTATCAAATCCTCTCTGTCTTCCCATTCTGATGTTGATTTTCCTTTTGACAACCCATCTCTTTATCGTAGTCTTGTGGGTGCCCTTCAATATTTGACTATTACTCATCCTGACTTAGCTTTTGCTGTCAATTCTGCTTGCCAACATATGCAGTGCCCTCTTGTTAGTCATTTTCATGCTGTCAAACACATCTTACGGTATGCTTAAGGCACTCTCACTTTTGGTCTTCAGTTTTCACCTGGTCCTCTTGTTCTCCATGCATACTCGGACTCTGATTGGGCTGGCAACACTGTCGATCACCGCTCTACTACTGGGTTTTGTGTCTCTCTCGGTCTGAACTTAATTTCTTGGTCTGCCAAGAAACATCCCACTGTTTCTTGGTCCTCCTCTGAGGCTGAATATCGTGCCTTAGCTCAAACTGCTGCTGAACTTAGTTTGTTGGCCATGCTTCTTACAGATCTTCATGTCTCTTTTCCCACTCCTACTCTCTGGTGCGACAATCTTTCTGCCATAGCCATGACTACCAATCCTGTCTTCCATGCTCGTTCCAAGCACATTGAAGTAGTCCATTATGTTCGTGATTTCTAAACTTTTGTCTATCTAACATGTGTCCTCTTCCAATCTGTTAGCAGACATTCTCACCAAGCCCTTATCCGTTGCTCGCTTTCATTTGCTTCAGTCCAAGCTGTTGGTTTTTCCCTCACCTACCAGCCTAAGGGGGCATGATAAAGAACAACCATGTACAAATACAAATCAGTCCATCACATCACCTTCTACAACTCAGCACTCAGATGAATAGAATAACTGATTCAGTTGAGTTGGTTCAGTTGTTACTTTACTATAGTTAAAAAGTTGTTAGTTGTTGAGTTTGTATAAACCATGGTTAGGATAAAAGACTCCATTGTATGTATATATATATATATATATATAAGGAACTCTACTGTATCAAGTTAATGAATTCAATAACACAAAATCGCTTTAATCTGAAACTAATGATGCCACGAATACATTTCAGAAACATTGGACAACCATTCATTCATACAGAAAATAATATTTCAGAAAACAAATCACTTTATGTCATTCAAAAAATACTTATAATTGAACATAGCCATACAAAGTTATTACTCACTGTTGGCTCCAATAGCAGACAGACAGAGCAGATAACCAGATAGCCTACGGCGCGTGACCTACACAAAAACATAACATATACAATTGAAACACAATATCACTTCTTGATCAAACTTAACTTCTCTTGTCTTTTTCTATCTGAGTATTCCAAATTTCTACTATGCGTATTCTTTCTTTGTTCAAATGAATCGGGTTCTCATTTCACATATTCTTTTATTACTAAGTTAGTTTTGATCATAATTTGCATCTTAATCAATTATTATTAGATCAATGACTTATTCCTTAACCAACTAAGTTTTGTTGATTACTAGCTTATTAATCTTTATTGAGTCATAAATCATGTCTAGAATGTTTTGTGAAAAGATGGGATTAAAAATATGAAATAAATGCAACGTTTCCAAAATATGCTGATAAGAGCTGTTCACTCGAGCGAACTTCTGGTCGCTCGAGCAGTCTGTAAAAAAAAAAAATTGCAAAAGTACTGGAAACTCGTAATGTTCACTCAAGCCACCAATTGGTCGCTCGAGCGGTTTGCAAATTTCTTGAGTTCCAAAACTGAAGATTTAGCATCCAAATTTCATTTCAAATTTAGATTCATGCATGACTCAATTTAAACATGTAATGTCATTAATAAAAATGAACACGTGACTAATTTCCAAATCTCAATACAAAAACCTTCTTAATTTGTCCAAATTTGAATGTAATTCATTTCATCCATATGAAACCCAATTTCAAACCCATAAGTTCTAAAATATGAATTAAACTTTCAAAATATAATTCCAAAACTTAGGTTTAAACATGGCTTGTCTAAAAATACACAAACTCTTAAATAATTAAGAAAAACTTGATCAATTTTAAACCATTTACATCAAAACTCCTATAATATAAAATTAAAGTTCATTATTCAAAAACTCATACTTTTTAACCCAAAACTTAATCACAGATGTTTCAAAATATGTTTAATTTGAATAAACTTTTAAACTGAATTACATGCATGGATTCAAAATTAAAATTAAACCAATTCCTATCTTTCATAATAAAATTAAAACCTTGCCTAACTTTAAGATTAACCCCAAATTTCCATAAACTTGATTTTTATAAAATTCTTCCATCACTTCAAAACATTAAATTGATCATCTTAAATTCTCTAAAATCCATGATGCATGTGTAAAACACTATCCAACTAATTCTATTTCTTCTTGATTTTCAAAACATAAAATTAAACATATGAGCCATAAATTTTTTTGAAAACATGCTGTAGACGTCCCCGAACGTCCCGGAAAAATCCCGTTTTGTCCATTGGGCTTACTATAGTTCGGACTCAAATGTCACGGTTCTGAATCTAATCCCGCGAAGTGCAATGCGAGGCCGATAAATCACCAAAAAGTCCAAATCTGGCAAATTGTTTTGAAAAACTGATTTTTAGAAAGAAGTGCCGAACATGGACTGCTTTGCCAGATATAGAGTCGCCACCTAAATATTTTATTTTGGGGGAATTTAAGAAACCCTGACTCGTGCCTAAGGCCACGTGTCCATCATCACCAAAGTTGCCTCGGCTTGGGAACTTGGGTACGATTGGGGAAGGTCATGCAATGAGCACCCCCGCTCGCCCGATCAAAGATCGACCGCTACTAAACATGATATCGAGTTTTTGAAAACACATGCGTTCTTATTCCGATTTATTAGCCTAGGATTACTATGTGATGCACACAACATACAAGTATAGACTGGATCGCCTGAGTTGGAACAAAACATCTCATGTTTGTTTTTGAAAGCGGTTTGCTACTTGCAAGTAGGCTAAAATGTGGATTTTGCCACCCTCAGGTGGGCTTAGAAAACAGGGTGATTTGCCACTCTCAAGTGGGCTTAAAACTCGCAATCGATGAATTGTTCCAATTCAAGTAATCTAACCTTCACCCACAGGCATCCAGGCAGGTATATCACATAATTAGTTAGCCTCATGGTAAGCATGCTATCATGGTAGTCACTCACACACATGCAAGGATGCTAAAGCATAAACACTCACCGAGTACTCCGAGCCAAAGAAAGAAGCTAATTAGAGATCATGCATGAATCCTAACTATGTTGAGATGCCTAATGCAACACATGCAGGATGCAACTAAGATAGCTTCGGCTATTCTAAAATGGCATGTGAGATGTTACAGATAACATGTATTCAACTTAGAATTGAAATACAATGCAGTTAGTATGATGCGCCGAGCCCGGTGCATGCAAGACAGATGAATGGATGCAATCATGCGAGCATTCAGATGCTAATTGAAACATGCCTTAAAACTAACCATCATAAGCTGGTAAATAAAAGAGAGAAAGACGTGGGGTTGGAAGACATACATCACACACACACACACACACACACTTATTACAGCAGTTGGCCCTCTCGACGGAGGGTCCGAATAAATAATACAACACCAACTAGCTAATCTAAGCTAATCTAATTAAGCTAGTTATTACACAACCAAAATGAATAATAAATTATAGCTAATTATTACACAACTCTAATTAATTAACAAACTAACCTAGTAAGCAATTAAACTAGCATGCAAACTACATGAATGTGGACTGCCTCAGCTCTGCCTTGAATGATAAAGGATGCATGCATACTCAAGTCGCCTTGTCGGGAAATCCATCGCGATGCCTCAGCTTGCCTTTGTTTGCAATTGATTTCAAAAATTTGCACAAAGCTCCAAAGAGATGAAACTCCACCCCAGGGGACTGTGGGAAGGCTGCCGACCAACTTATAGGCATGGGAGACCAACTACCAACCACCTTTTGTGGTGGAAACCAAAGAAGGTGGTCGGCCTACCAGAAAACCTGGTCGGCCGACCAGTTTCTTCTCCTGGATTCTGTTTTTCTGTAGGGAAAGAGAGAGGCATGACAAGGTATTTGCAACACATGTGTGCATGACCACTCTCCCCGTCATTGCATCAGCTCTAGGGAGTGTAGTCCTCGACCCTCGGGCCACCGGTCGCTCATCTCGATGCATGATGGCCGAGGAGTCGAATTGCACGACTCAATGTGAAATGAATGCACATACAAGCACCTAAAGCCAACAACTCCGTCATGGGTAGTCAAGAGTGTCGGCGACCGGGAATCGAGGCACGTTTCGTCACTTTGGGTACGAAACGTCCCTCGTTTCCCGTTTCGGACTAACTCCTATTCCGAACACAATGCAACAAACAATGGCATGCACAATGTAACTTTAAGAATACAACCTAAATGCTATGCAACTAAGTGATGCAAACATGCAAAGGATGACATGCAAACATGCAAATAGCATACACAATGCTATGAACTAACAATGGCATACTCAACGCACGTGGTACTTAGCATATACAATGCACCTAAGAACTAACATACACAATGAGATGAACAAGGCATGCACAATGCAATGATCAATCATGCGACAATGTGGCATACTCAATGCTATGGAATACAATGGCATACTCAATGCAAAAATGGACTTAAACCAAAATGAATGGGCCTCAGCCACACCCAAATCAGTGGCCAAACATGATGAAAACAAGACTCCAAAACTCATGCTAGCATACACAATGCAAGGACCTAAGCCCAAGGGCACAAAATGCAACTCTACAAAAGCATTGAAAGGATGAAATATGGCATACAATGACACATGTTCCAGCTCTGAAATGACATACAAAATGGCTCCGAATCATGCAAACAACTCACACAATGCATGTTGAAAGGCTCAAGTACCGAAGCTAGTGAAGCACATTACACTAGAGGCATGCAAGGCGATGCTCAAATGACAAAACCAACTCTAAACAGACCTTAAGAAGGCCCAAAACAGTGGCAAAATGAGCCAAGATGGTGGCTTGAAAGGCATAAGAATGAAGCTCAATGCAAAGGCCCATAAATGGGGTATAATGATGCAACTCTCAAACATATTGAAAGAGTGACAAACATGAGAATATAGCCAAGAAATAAACTCTAAAATATCATGCTCAGTGATGCTAAAACATGCAAACACGTCAAGTTAAGCATGCAAGGGGATTCAAAACTCAAGGCTAAGCAAGGCTATTACACTACAACCATACATGGCAAGCATCATTCGACCAAGGGACCTCAAAACAGAGCTAAGGCAGGGAAAAATATGAATAAAATCAGTTTGGAGCATGGCCAAAATATGCTAGCATAGAGGGCCAAAACAACATGCATTATAAGCTGGTGAACATGATTTACACTACAAGCATGTGAAGCATATGAGAGGCTACCAAACCACCCAAAAAAAAAATCATGGCATGCCAAATGATGGCCAAAAACCCACTGAAACATAACCAATACATGCAAGAATGAGGTGTTACTTTGATAGGCTATGCAAGGGATTGTTCTACACATGCAAGAGGCAAACAAAAGGTGACCAAACCAGCCATAGACAGAGTCTAGACAGGTCCTAAAAGTCACTAAAAAGGGCCTGAACC